TCCTCGCTCCCTCTCGGCGTTATTGTTGTTCTTCAGCTGACTCGAGGCCCGAGAAGAAGGTGAAGGTTTTGGGGTTCACCCCCCACCGTCTCTCTGCTCTGCGGGATTGTCTAAAAAAGAATTAAAAATGGCCGAGAATGTGGTGGAGCCGGGCCCGCCTTCAGCCAAGCGGCCTAAACTCTCCTCACCGGCGCTCTCCGTCTCCGCCAGCGACGGCACAGGTCAGTCTCGGGGGCCCGGGCTCTCCCCACCTCTCGGTGCCGCAATTACTGCCCTTTTCTCCCCTCTTCTGCCTAAATCTCCTCCTCCCTTTTGCTGCTGTTAACTCGTGCCTGCCTTCGCCTTTTCTGTCTGTTCCTCCCGTTTTCGCTCCGTTTGAACCTATTGGCGTTAATGGCATAGGGAGGGTGTTGGGATGTTTCTGCCCTTCTGGTTTTTTGGAAGTGATTGAAAGCAAAGCTGTTCAGTTTATTGTGCTTTTGATCAACTGCAGATAAGACTTAACAGTTTGTCGTTTTCGTGTCTTTCACAATAGTAGTTATTACTGAGCTCCTTGCTAAGCGTATACCTCTAATGCCAGTTGCAGCAATACGAAATAGTGTTAAAGATGATGTTTTGTATACTTTATTGTTGAATTCCGTGTGTACGTTCCTACACACAAATATGTCGTTTCTTATTTTATTTTGGACAGGCAAGTGTTGTTTTTTTTTACAGCTCGTTTAGAAACGAGATTTATTCCTCTGCTGTTTTTCTTTTTTTGCTTCTTACATGCAGTCTGCCTATCTGATTTTGTTTTTGCAGTCCTTACTCTTCCTTGCAGAAGAATCTCTAAAAACTGCTTTACTATTTCAAATAGACCATCGACTTTAGGGGAAGAAAAAACCCAGCTAAAACCAAAATCCAGGTGCCAGACTTGGGGCATAAGGTTTATCGAGACTCTTCTTAGAAATGGAATGTTATCTCACATTATTTGCGTTAAGAATCAATATGGAGTGTAGTTCATCTTGCATCTCCCATTTCTTTGCTGCGAGACCAAAATGTCTGAAATTCCCCTATAGACTTGAGGGCTGTGAAGATAAAGGAGCTTCTCTGCAGTCCTGCAAAGGTCTTTGGTGATGCTGCGAAGGCAAGCTGGAGGTTGGAAATTTTAGGCATCCCAAGCCCTAGCAAATATGAACTGGTTGTACTGGGGCGGGGGGGGGAGGGAGTAACAAAGGGCTATTTAGCTTTTTAATGCTTCTGTGAAGCAGATGAGTATTTGGTGTCATTTTGCTGTGAGAGTACTTGGGTTACCTGTACCACAGGAGTTTCTTTGAACTCACTTTAGATCTTCTTAGGCTATGGGATATTGAGGAGGCCTCCTTCTGCCAGAATCTGGTGAGTGGTGGCATTTCTGAAGCCGCCGGTGGTCTTGTTCAATGCAGTTAACAGCTGGCAAGAAAAAGGAAGTGTGGTTTGTTTGTTTTTTAGAAGAAAGCTCCTCGTTTGAGAAGGTTTTAGTAGCTGAGTTTTGGTTGAGCAGTGGATGTGATTCCACTTGGAATCATCTTCAGAATTTCGATTTTTGCCTTCTCTGTTCTTGGTGAATGATGTATTAGTTTTGAAAAGTTTGTGGGTAACTTTTAGAGCATATTAGATACAGGCAGTATGATGTTGTCACTGGAGATGACTATTCCTAATATCAACAGGTCTCTAGGAAGAGACAAGAGCGTTGGAGAAGCTGCTCTTTAGCTAGAGCTAGTTGTTGGGGGGTTTTGTGCTAGACTTGGAAACCAGTACTTAATTCAGTAGTAACCATTTTTAATTTTTCTTGAGGGTGGTTATCTTGCTCTGTTTAGAGAGTTGAAATAAAGATGTATTTTGTGAGAGGAGTCCTGATACTCGAAAAATAGGAAAGTTAAAGACATAATTTGGATAGGTGCGTTCATCTCAAAATAAGACATTCATGATCAAATAAGGTTTGGATAATTTGTGGATGTATTTCAGTTTAACAGGTGCAGATTTTCACAGAATACTCGGTCTATTTTTATTGTTAACTTACTGGGCAGCTCAATAGCTGAATTTTTTACAGTTATGGTGAAACACTAGGGATTGTTGGACAGTTTCAGTAGTGCGCAAATGGGATAATTTTTTTCAGTGATTGAGATTGTCATCACTTGATAGCTATGCAGAGGTTTATAGTGGTGCAAACACTTTATATATGCTACATAAAAACTATTAAAGGATTCTTACTCTGCTGGATTTTTTTGTTGACAACTTACTATGTGGATTTGGGACAGTTCCACTTTCTGTGTTTTTTAACGTGATACCATATCTATTTCTCTAAATAAAATCAAATCTCTTGGCGATGTGATACCATATCCATTTCTCTAAATAAAATCAAATCTCTTGGCCAATAAGTGTGTTTTGAGGCTTATATTTTTTCATTTGCTGCTTGAGAGACCGCAATTTTTTTGTCTCAGTTTTGCTGTTGTGGGAAACTGCTTTGAAGTTTACATTTTTTTAACCTATCTGCTCCTTAAATTTGCTTTGAAATAGTGCAAGCAGCTTTCATTTAAGTAAACTCCACTTATAGAATCTGTTGTGTTGTCCCCACTCTTTAGGTAATTATAGAAAATAAATAACATGATGCTTATGTACTTACTCAAGCACTCTTTTTAAAACGGTTAGATTAACAGCATCATTCGAGGGAAGGAGAAAGGTAAGAAACTTGCACAGTTCCTGAAACTTTTTCTGACACATGTGCATAGTGGATCTTTCAATGTGTTTCTCTTGCTGTTAACTTTTTTACTAATTTCCTAATCTGAAGTATTGTTTTAGCTTGTTAGATACCTAAAACCGATTACTGACTCTAGTGAACTTAGTCCCAATCTTGGCAGGGGTTAAGTGTATTTGTATTGAAGACTAAGTTGAGTCTCTAGTTCACTCGTGTTTTCACTGTAGACTTGGGTGATGCTGATATTCTGGGCTTGGAATGTACTAAACTCAAATGTCGGTGGTTTTCTTCTAAAAAGAAGTCGGCAAAGATTGTCCTAATACGCTTGATTTATTGGCAGCAGCCAAATATAGCTGCGTTTCCCACTGTTGTTGCAGTGCTGCATCTCCTTCTGTCTTAAAAGTCTTAAATGGTTCCTGTGTTCCCTGCTCAGAATTTGCTTTGCCGTAGAGCAGGGCTGTATTCCTGTAGTTTTGAGTTGCCTTCTTAATGCCAATTCCTTCTTTAGGAGGTAAGAATAACACAGACTTACAGGGAAACTGAAATGTTTGTAGCAGCTTTTGTAATAAATATTTTGAAGTAATTTAGAAAGTCTTGGTATTGTTGGTGTCCTGTAGTATGTTAGAATTTTTGAGTGGTCTTGCGTTTTTTCCGGCAGATGTTGCGTGGTTCTAGAGTAGTTTCAGGAGCAGGACTGTGTGGATTCCCTTAAACTACCAGAGTTTTTTCTACAACTTTTTTTTCTATTTAAATGTTAAATTTGTTGCAAAGAAGAATGGTAATTATACATTCATCCTGTCCAGACATTAAGTTTTCTGAGGGCCGTTGCAGCTCTACAGCCGAGTCACCTTTTGTTGGTACTGTATCCTTAGATGGGATGTGAGTTTGTGACACTTGATGCTAGCAGGGCTCTTCTGTACTAGCATGGTTACAGTGACATAAGTACTTTGCCAGTGTAGCTCATTTTACTTACCTTTTCTTACCGGTAGAAACACTGTTTTCGTATGTTGCACCTAGTCTTAAACATTGTATTAGGAAACTGGTGAACACCAGTCTCTTCCCCAGCCCCCCCCACCAGAATAATTTGAGTGCATCCTGAAGAGTTATCTGCTTGAGTAAATTGAGTGGAAGTCTTTCATAAGATACATTTTTAACTAGATACCTTAAAACAGTGATGAATTAATTTTTTTTATTTAGCATTTTTATTTATGAACCCCTCAATTTTTCCTACAGTCATGCAGGTGCGCTGAAATTTCCACGTACAGATTTCCGTGTGGCATGGTCAGGAAGGGCAAGTTTACTCATGTTTTGCAGAAACACACCCCCCCCTTAGAAATAACCTCTTTTCTCTGAACTAGGAAAGCTTTTTGGGCTCTGGGTTCAGAACTGCTATGTTTCGTCAAGGAGTAAAAATGGAGTATACTCTCGGCTGCAGCGTCGTTGTATGGGATCATGTCTTTGGGCTGCTAGATCTGAAAATAGGATTTTCAGTGCTTAATGTTTCTATCTTGCTGTAACGTTGGAAGTCAGTTTTCTACAAGTAGTTGGCACATGTTATATCAGAGATCAGTGTACGTATTTGTGGTATGTGCCTTTACATCCTTCAGTTTACTATATCCAAAAGTTGTGTTTTTCTGAGTAATAGCACATCTTCAATTTCCCTTTCAGTACCTATCTTTTGTAAAGTTTGTATGTTCCTTTTTTTCAGGAACTGCTTCTGACCTTTAAAACTTTACTCTCCCTTACATCAAAGGTCTAAGACTTGTAACGAAACTTCTCGCCTGGACTACTGCAATTTTGACTGATATTCATCTTTCATTTGTTCCAAATGTATCAGGCTGTTTCTTTGCTTGAAATGAATCATATTAATCTTGTCTCGCTACTTTTTCCAGAGGCATATGCATGGTTTTCAATTCTGTTTTCAGACAGCTATGGGGTTTTTTCCTAGTGTTTGTATATCCTACTTTTAAAATTAAATATTTTTCACAAAACTTCTTTCTGGCTAATGTTTAAGACCAAGTCATTAGCTACATTTAACTTACAGCCATCAGTTAAATATTTTTATCCCTCCTTGTTGAGAACCACTGGGTTTTGCTGTTTTTTTTTCCCCCGAGTATTAGTTGTTATGAGAGATGCCTTAAAATATGGCTTGATGGATGGCATTCAGTGTAAATCGAGTATTGTAGTGGTGGATGCTTGTGTGGCAAAAATGGGCATCTTTGCCTTGTAGCTAAGTAGGTTCTCAAAGTAATTGCATTAGGAATAAATTTAAATTAAGAGAATTTAGGTCTGCAAGATTTTCTTTAAAAAGTAAACTGATCATTCATATGGTACTTAACTGTTTTAAGAAAATCTTGCAGACTTTTGGACCTTGTAGATTGCTGAACTGCCACGTCTCTGCTTTTTTTGCCCCTTTCACCAAGTGGGTTGTGTGTGTGTCTCTGACATAGGTAGGTACCTTTTCTGAGCAGTGTTAAGAAAAGTACCTAATTTTTTTCTGAAAAG